GGGGGGGGGAGGGGAGGCAAATTCCTTCTTAAATGTTTAGATGGTATTTAAGGAGCTAGGCCCCACTGGCTGGACACAAAGCATACACGGAGGGACCCATCCATACCGCAGCAGCCCCACAGGGTGCGTCTGTGCCTTCACAGAATTGTAGGCAGGCCTATAAACACATAAGCCATTAATTGACCCTCTTTTCTTGGTTACATTTTGTTGCTTGGTGGGTTTTTTCTTTTCTTCTGGCTGTTCAATTGGGGTTATAAGTGTGGTGAAAGGGAAGAGCACCTTTAAGAAGCATCCTCCCCTTCATCTCAAGCCTCTGAAATGTGTTCACACTGAACGGGTTGCTTTAAGAGGGGAGAGTATTTGGGCAGGAGGGCATTGTTTGAACATTTACTGCTGGTTAAAGGTGAGGGATTGGCAGGGCTGATTCAGAACCCCTGGGAAACTAAAGCATCAGTGCAAGGAAGAACAATGCAGGGCTATGCACCTCACAACCCTGAATGGGAGAGACCCCCCCCTCCCTTTACAGGTCAGAGAAGGGATGGCAGCTCTGGGGGGCAATTACTGGCAGGTAGAGTGGTGCTACCTGTATTGTGGACCCCTGTCCAGTGGCAGCTAGCCTGAGATCAGCCACTGCTAATTGACACTGTACAATGCGCTTTGCTGGCCAATCAAATCAGTTATGGACCTGAGCTGGACAAGGAGTGGTGACGGAGCAGAGAAAGCTTCCTTATTCCAGTCCCAGGCACCTGCTCATGACTTGTTTTCCCCCTCACCCAATCCCAGTGAACATTTGCTTTCCCCACTACCAACATTTTCTCTTTGCTCCAACACTTCCCCCTCCTCCCTTTAGTGTTTTCAGCAGCCATTTAAAGGGCTCCTGCAGTAGAGGCCCTTCTGAAGTGCCAGGCCCTGGGGTAACTGCCCTCTTCCCAAAGGTCAGGCCTGCAAGGCCTCTACCCCTCCCCCAGGTTGGTTTATTTTAAAAACATGTAAGTGTATACTCTTAACAAGTAGCTCACCAGTGCTAACAGGCAACATCTATGAATGCAGACCATTGGGCTACCCGCAGGGAGGAAAAGCAGCCATGGTCCAGCTGGTTTCTACGAGTCCTGGCCCCAGGTTCAGGATTATCCTACCCCACAAACTTGGTAAATGCAGCAGACTTACTGCAATTTCTAGCTGAGCATCCTCTGGGCTATTCATCTGTTTCAGGACCAAGCCCTGCACCACCAACAGCAGGAGCCAGACACAGCTGAGTGCTGGTGTATTAAAGGGAAGCAAGTGGCTGATGGCAATGAAAGGATTTGATGGCTGGAGATGAACAGGTTTTCCCCGTTACTCAGTCCAAAAGGAGTCACTCCCAGCAGAGGTTCCCAGCTACCTGCATACTGTCTCCACATAAACCCCTCAGCTTCTAGTATCTCCTCTCCTACTCACTTCCCCATTGTTGCACCCCCACAACCATTAGGTGGCTCTCAGCGGATACAGGAAGTAGCAGCTTTTTAGGGGCAAATGGTCTTTTGGGGGGTTCTGAGTTTCTCCAGTCACTAGATTTCTGCCTCTTGTTGCAGACCAGTCCACAAAATTTGGCAATGGATCATTTGCAGTGTTCAGCAATTAGTCTTACAGCCAAACACTTCTGTGTTTCACTGTGCCCAAGATATAGTCACACTATTTCCTTTCTGATAGACTATTTGATCTGAGGAAGTGGGTCTGGCCCACGAAAGCTCATCATCTAATAAACCATCTTGTTAGTCTTTAAAGTGCTACATTGTCCTGCATTTTATTTCCTTTCTGAATGCCAAAAATATTGCTCAATTGTTCTCCAACGTGTGGCACGTGCACACTGCCGTACCTGATAAGCTGTGTAGTCACAAATAGTGTAGCCATTCTAAATTTATACTCTTCGCTTTTATGCCAGGCCAACATTCATTGGTTTTAAAGTTCTTTGGGAAGTTCTCTTGCAGGACAGTCCCTCTGCATGCCACTGTTTCCTTCCAATAGCCAAAACACAGCCCAGCCATACAGCTGGCTGGAGCAGCTGCACAGCTTGTAGCACAATTTGCAAGATGTCTGGAGAGAGTTTCTATAGCAATGGCAGACTTTTTGTTTCTCGTGATTCTTGTTAGTTTTCTTTGTTCTTTCATTACAGATCAGTCCAGGAGGGGTAACATCGAAACCAGCAGCACTGAAAGACCTGGATTTTAGTCCAACATTACTATATAAATATTATCCCAGTAAATGTAATGCCCAAATCAAATCACACCTACTTATTAAAGTTTTGTTTCCTTTCACCAGCCTCAGTCTAGGCTCATTTGTCTCATGCCTCTAACTTAAATGTCTGGCTCCATCACTAATTGACTTTCTCATACTGCTTACGGAGGCATGGCAAATTAATGAAAAGGTCAGACTACTGAAACAGAGTGATCTGCAGCACTTGTAAGCTGAATGCAAGCGAATACGCACTTTAAGGCTACTCAAACGTGTAATCTAGAAACAAAGAACATAGGCCTAGGACGCAAGGGCTCCAATTTTGGACAGGCAGCCCAGAGGGAAGTGAAATAATTAGCTGAACATGTTCCCAAAGAAATGCTGTGGCTGAAGTGAGTAATGCTGTCCTTGGATGCATGAGCAATGGACTCTAGTAAGAGAAGAAAGGTTACTTTACCTCCATATTTGGCACTGCTGCAGTTGCTGCTAGAATACTGTTATACCAGAATTGGACACAATTCAGGAAGGAGCTTGATAGTTTGGAGAGACTATCAAGAATGATTAAAAGATTAGAAAATGTGCTTTAAAAGGAGAGTCAAGAAGCTCAAAGAGGTTACATGATGACTTGATTACAATCTAAATATCTACAAAGGAAACAAACAGTTGATAATCATAGAAATGTAGGACTGGAAAAGACCTCAAGAGGTCATCTAGTCCAGTCCCCTCCACTGAGGCAGGACTAAGTATTATCTAGAGACCATCCCGGTCAGGTGTTTCTCTAATCCATTCTTAAATCTCTAAAACAAGAGATTTCATAGCCTCCTTGGGGTCATTTCTTCCAGAGCTTAACCACCCTGACAGGAAGTTTTTCCTACCATCTAGTCTAGATCTCCCTTGCTGTGATTTAAGTTCATTACTTCTTGCCCTGTCCTCAGCAGTTAAGAACCCTTTCCATCATCCTCTTTATAACTTTTCATGTACTTGAAGACTGTTACCTTTCCCCTCATTTTTCTCTTGTTTAGATTAAATACCTCCCCCCCCCCCTTTCTTCTCAAAGGTCATGTTTTTAGATCTTTAACCATTTTTCCTGCTCTCCTCTAGACTTCTTCCCATTTACCCACATCTTTCCCAACATCTGGTGCCCAGAATTGAACAATACACCAGTTAAGGCCTTATCAGTGTAGAGTGGAAGAATTACTTCTCCCGCATACAACAATACTAATGAGGTGCGCCTAGACTGGCAAGATTTTGCACAAAAGCAGCTGCTTTTGCGCAAAATCTTGCCAGCTGTCTACACTGGCCGCGAGAATTTGCACAAGAACACTGATGATCTAATGTAAGATTGTCAGTGTTCTTGCGCAAGAACTGACACTCCCGCTCGGGAAAAAGCCCTCTTGTGCAAATGTTCTTGCTCAAGAGGGCCAGTGTAAACAGGGACAGGAATTTTTTGTGTAAGAAAGCCCCAATGGCGAAAATAGCCACCAGAGCTTTCTTGCGCAAAAGAAAAACCGCATCTATACTGGGCACAGATGCTTTTGCGCAAAGGCACTTGCCAATCAAGACGCTCTTTTGCGGAAATACTTTTAACAAAAAAACTTTTCCGTTAAAAGTATTTCTGCAAAATCATGCCACTCTAGACGCAGCAATGATGTTTGCTTTTTTTGCAACAATATTACATTGATGACCCCTTTAGTTTTTGATCCACTATAAACCCCAGATTCTTTTCTGCTGTATTCCTTCCTAGGCAGCCATTTCCTGTCTTGTATTTCACCAATTTGATTATTCCTACCTAAGAGTAATATTTTTCACCAGTTCTTACTGAATTTCATCCTATTTATTTCAAACTATTTCTCCAGTTTGTCATTTTGAATTTTAATCTTGTCCTTTAAAAGCATTTGCAACCTCTCAGCTTGGAATCATTCACAAACATTTTGGCTACGTCTACACTGCAGGCTTCTTGAGCTAGAACTGTTTTGTGCAAGAGTGAGTCCACACTGCCATGTGTTTTTGCACAAGAGCATCCATGGCAGCGTGGATGCTCTCTTGCGCAAGAAAGTTCTAATGGCCATTTTAGCCATCGAGGTTTCTTGCGCAAGAAATCCCTGTTGCCCGTCCACATTGCCTTCTTGCGCAAGAGCTCTTGCACAAGAGGACTTCTTCCTCGTGGGGAGAGGAATAACTCTTGCACAAGAACATGCGTGCAGTGTAGATGCTCCGCAAGTTTTTGCGCTTCTTGCGCAAAAAGCATGCAGTATAAGACTTAGCCTTTAACTGTACTTTCTAGGCCTTATCCAGATCTTACAAAGATACTGAACAGAACCAGACCTGAGACAGATTTCTGGCAGGACCCTACTCAATAGGGTCCTGGCCTCTGTTTGTCAGAGGCTGGAGAGGGATGGCAGGAGACAAATCGCTTGATCATTGTCTTCGGTCCACCCTCTCTGGGGCACCTGGTGCTGTCGGCAGACAGGATACTGGGCTAGATGGACCTTTGGTCTGACCCAGTACGGCCGTTCTTATGTTATGTTCTTATGTAATATGCCAATCCAGCTTGATTGTTGTGAATCACCGTAAGTATTCTAGGAGTGTACTTTTCCAACGAGTTCTGCACTCATCTTATAAGTAGGTTCATCTAGGCCAGTGTTTCTCAACCAGTGGTACCAGTACCCTTAGGGGTACTCAAGAGAAGTCGGGGGGTATGTCAACACAACTGAAATTTGGAGAAAACTGAATTTTTGTTTTAAGTTTTACAGCACTTTATTTTTGTACTTTATACCCAAAAATTTCATCACCTGCCCAGCTACAATTAAGTTGTTGAAACAAATGTGTTGCAATGGTAGAAAAAAAATTGTGTGTGTCTGAAAACTGTAGGTACTGGGGGTACTTAGATTTTTTTTAAAGAGGTACTTTTAAAAAAAAAAGGTTGAGAAACACTGATCTAGGCTATATTTTCCCCGTTTGTTTATGAGGACATGTCTTAGACACAATCAAAAGCTTGACTAAAATCAAGATACAACAGACTACTCTCTCACAAATATATGTGATCCAATGACTAAGTTGAAGATAGACAAATTCAGACTAGAAATAAGGCATACATTTTTAACAATTAGAGTAATTAACCATTGGAACAATTTAACCCATGGCAGAGTCCTCATTGCTGTCAATTTTTAAACCAAGCTTGTTTTTGTTTTTTTAAAGATATGCTCTAGTTCACAAGAAATTCTGATGAGGAAGTCCTTTGACCTGTATTATAAAGATCAGACTAAATGCCCACAACCATCCTGTGATGGATAAGAGGAGTGCTGGCCAGCACATGGTGAATAAAGGGTTAAACTTAGGTAGCTGGGGGGTGCTGGCAGGGAGCTAGAACCACCAATGGGGGTTACAGTGCTGAAATTTGAATTAAGGGTATACCTGCCTGCCATTTCTCTTCTGTGAGAGTTAGTCCAGGAGCTGGAGAAGCAGGAAGTTTTGAATCCAGGCAGGACTACCACGCCTCCAAGGAATACTGGGCATGGAAATGGTAGACCTTGAAGTGGATGGTGAGTAGTAGGGGGAAAATATATATTTAGTTGTGACAGGGTTATTTTCTTTGTTTTGTTGTTTGGTTAACTTCTCTTGTGTTTTTTAACGGCTCTGCAAATTCAGCCTGGGATCTAACATTCACGCTGGCTATGCCTGTCAGAGAGAACCTACCAGTAGTAAGTTCTGCAAGCCAAATGCTGCTCTCACATGCACTGGAGTAACCTTGTTGCCTTCAGTAGCGTGGGTCAGGTGTAACCGAACATCATGTAGAGACAGCAACCCTAATATGGGGCTTCGCAATTGGAACTCCTTAATAATCCAGTTAAGTCCGAAGGGAGCCAGCTCTGGGCCCCAGTGCAGTGTTAGTTCTACAAGCCTGAAAGCAGCATAGCTTTTTTCACCAGAGTACCCACACTGCTGTACAGCTCAGTGTCACTGGGGCCCCCTGCTGGCACATGGAAAGGATACCTCATACTCCAGCCATCCTGACAGCAGTAGCCACAAATTCATCACTTCAGTTTATTTCAGCAACGATTTATCCAGGAAATAACAAATACAAAAATCAGAGGAGGGATAGCTGGGTTAGTCTAAAATGCTATCAATTCTGAGCAATGTAAATTCTGAATGAATAACAAACTAATGTGGCCGGGATTATCTGGGACACAGTGTGCTCTCCACACGCTGAACCTGACCACTTTGCAAGGCCTCTACTCCAATCCTGTCCTCCAAAAAGAGGCCTACCCGAGTTGATAGCTGGAACCAAGGAAGTTATAAGGGCAGAAAACACTTTGGCTGACAGAGATGCTCTGATAGTAAGTCATTAATATTTGTCTGTAACACTTCAAAGGGGCAGGGTTTGTATCACCCCAAGAGGGGCAGGTAGTTGCCTGCCAGTTACCAGCACTGCTTGGAGAAATTTCTTTGCTTGCAAGCCCATGGGAATGCAGTCTGACCACACAGTCTGTGTCCCCATAAGCCACTCCCTGTTGAGAGAGCACAGCATGGGTCTAGGAGCAGTCTGAAATTTACACTCAGTTAAAACACTGAGAGCAAGTCACCTCTCTGTAGAAGGAGGAATCAAGCCATTCGTCATGGCTGCTGGTCTAAGGGACAGGGCTGCAGCTTTGAGGCTGGTCTCAGACTCAAATGTAAATGTACACAGCAGAGCACAGGAAGTTCAGGCTATGCCAAGGAACAGGACTCACTCCACGCCAGTTTGTAATGTGCCCTGGAAGGATTAACACACCCTCTGTGTACGTAAGAGTGAGCAGACCTGCTCTGGAGTCCACCTCTGTAACTACTAGCCCACGAACAGACTCTCAGGGCCTACGAGCTCTCCGAGAGGCTCCCTGCACATGTGGAGGCTGCAGGAACCCTGCGCCCTGCCTGCATTATGGCCAGCAAAAGCTAAACCATCGTGAGCACCAGCTTCTCTCTTTTCTTCCTCTTCCTCCTCTTCTCCTCAAAACGGTCAGTGGCATCAGCAAAGAAAGTCACCTCATCCTTGGCCTCTATCTCTCTCTTCAGGAACTGCAGCCCAGCCATGTTAAAGCCCAGCACATTCTGCAAAGAC